TCGTATGCTGGACAGTGAAAAAACGACAGCTAAAAACACACTCAATCCCAAAATCATGACTACTCGCGCCACAGCTTTCAATAGTCCCACCAACAACGTCACCTCCCGATACCTCATCCCTATCCTATCTCCCCGGAGCAACAAGGACGACCGACTAGAGGGCGGACTGCAGCCGAGTAACGTTGGTGGGACGAAAGTGTTTGCGTGGAAGACGTTTGCGATGTGCGCTGCGTTTCTCGTTGAGGTGATGTGGCTTCGGGGGTTCGGTTGGGGTTCGGGGAGGATGCATTCTCGTGGAGGGGGATGGAAACACTGAGTTAGAGGTGAATGCTAAGCTTCACCCTCTTTCCTTCTGGAAAACGACGAAAAGACTACGGACAAAGGGTCAGAGCGCCAAAACACAACTCCAACCAAACTAACAAGAACATCTACCCGTCCTGCTCCAAAATCACCACACAGACCCAGGCTCGTACGAATCTGATCCAGAACCCTTCATCGATGACGCACTGTACCCACCCCCACTCATCCTCTTCTGATTCCGGCACTCTCGTACAATACGCATTAATGATTGACTAATGATCGACGCAAGCTCAACCGGCTCCGGAATCCACGTCTACATGTTCAACAACCGCGGCCCTTCCCCTGAATACGAATTGAGGGCGCTGCGGAGCCTAGACGTCCTCTTGGACGAAGCTGTCCGTTGGTGCCCACGGCCGTGCACAGGTGTACACCTGTAGCTGTCAAAGCTACCGCTGTACTTCGATTATTACTACCCTGTTTGCAGAGCGCTGATATTTTGAGTGCGGTGGAAGGAAGGATACGCTCTTCCTATCCTTTTCAACTGCAAGAGAAAGATGGGGTAGTGATCATGGATGGCAAGACGAAGGCGTATACGCGTGGATAACGGCGAATTACCTCTTGGGAACCATCAAAGCTTCCACGCCGCCCGATACACCCACCTACGCCGTCCTCGATCTCGGTGGCGCTTCTACGCAAATCGTATTCGAACCCGTGCTCGCTTCGTCGGATATGCAGCTCGAGGAGGGGGAACATAAATGCGATCTCCAATTCGGCGGCCGGAATCTTGTGTTGTACCAACACTCGTACTTGGGGTATGGGCTGATGTGTGCACGGAGACACGTTCATAGATTGGCGGATCTCATGTCGACGTTGCAGGGTATGAAACCGAAGGCGGTGGCGGGGAATCCGTGTCTTGCGAAGGGGACACGGAGGGTTGTGATTGTTAAGGATGAAGTGACCGGTGAGGAGAGGAAGGTGACGATGGATGGGGGGGACATTGGGTCTTTTGAGGCGTGTGTTCGGGTGGTGCAGTTTGTACTGGCAAAGGACGCGTATGTCCCTTTCTCCTCTTTCCTTTTACTCTTCTTTCTTCCTCCTCCCTACCTAATTCTCTTTTACATCCTTCTTTTCATTATTTTCTCCCTTCTGTCTTCCTCTCTCACCCCCACTCCCTTCTCTCTTCACCCCCCTCCCTTCTTCCCTGTCCTAAATCTGCCTACTGATAACATGCACACACAGAATATGTGAACTAAAACCATGCTCCTTCAACGGCGTCTACCAATCCTCCCTCCTTTCCTCCTTCCCAAACGGTAAAGTCCTCCTCTCCTACTTCTATGACCGCCTCTCCCCCCTCCTCCCCCTCTCCTCTTCCTCCCCCATAACCATATCCACCATCGCCAGCACCGCACGCCAAGTTTGCAAAGGCCGTGACGAATGGCTCCGGAACCACTGGGCCACCGATTCCGAACTCATGGCCCCTGAACTCACAGATAGACCAGAGTGGTGCCTTAATTTAACGTTTATGCATGCGTTGTTGAGGCTTGGGTATGAGTTTGAGGATGGGAGAGAGGTGCCGATTGGGAAGGAGATTGGAGGGACGAAGTTGGGGTGGTGTTTGGGTGCTACGATTGTGATGGTTGGTGGGGAGCTGAAGTGTCGGATTTGAGGGTGGTGAATGCTGGGATAGGATTTGATGAGGTTACTTAGACTATGGGGGGATCTCAAGTGCCTATACTTACAAAATGAATATAAACAATCCTGCTCTCTAA